AAAGAGTGTTCTTACAGTATGTCATATGTCTACTATAAAAATGTACATGAATATTATACAGTAGTCAGTAAATTTGTTTTTCATAGGTATACGGGTTAGCTCTACTGAAAACTCTTTATGTGTGTACAACAGTTGAGCAAATAAATACATATTCTGTGGATAATGAGCCAGGTTTCTCACAGATAGGGAAAGGAGAAAGTTAGAATTAACCCTTTGGTATCAGTAGCAATGTGTGAGCTTTAATATATACACAGCTAGATACAAGTAGAAATAAATAGAGATATATGTATTCATGTGTGAATATTTATGCACATATATTCCCTCGCTCTCTGCCGAGGTGGTTTTGAAACAATGATACTGCAGCAGCAGTACACATGCCTTGTACCCACATCTTGGTTTCCAAATATATTTCTCCTGGTTTGCCAATAAAGGTAATCAGGACTTCATAGAAAAATGTTTTAAATCTAGGCTGAGGTAGGGAAAATACATGAATATTTTGTGGTGCCAGAAAGCAAGGAATTACTCAAAAGGAAATTGTCACCATACCTAGGAACCAGCTTTAAGTACTTCTCAGTGGCCTAATTGGGGATAATTTGATCAACAACATTAAAAGTGATAGTATGAAATAACACCATGAGTTCATATTGAATAAATAAAAATGAAGAAATAAACACAGAAGTAAGGAGAGGTGTTTCTGTCCACTGTAGGGATACTGGGCTTACCATTAATAAGTGTAGAAGAAATCATGGAAATAGAAAGTCCATCATAAGTTAGATGTCACAGAAATAATTGTCGCAGGTAACCATCGTCAACGGATGCTAAAATGACCAAGTGAACATATGACTGGAAACAGGACATTTGCATAATCCTAAAGTACCTCACCACAAGGAGTTTATTAATAGGAAAGGAAAAATAGTAGCTTTTTAGTGAAGAAATTTTGGCAGACAGCGTCTTACCCAAGTAATAAGAGTTAATAGCAGCAGCAATTAAATACATCCATATCACCTACCTTTTTTTATGCTCCACGGAGGAGAATACAGCAGCCTTTTGGTGATGTTCTTCCCGAAAGTGCATAACATCAGTGAAAACACAGGACAACATCAAGTAAATGTAAACTGAGAGACTTCCTACAGAGCTACTAGCCAGTATGCTTCAAAAGAAGACTACAAAACTTAAATACTGAAGAACTGTCCCTGTCTGAAGAAGACTTAAGGAGATATTAAAGCTAAATATGATATATGCACATCTATTAGATTGTGGACCAGAAAAAAGGATAATAGTAGGAATAAACTGTTGAAATTCAAATGTTTTGCTTATGTTATTTTCTTAAGAGATGAATAACAGGGAACTTGCTGCTATTTTTGCAACATCTATGTAAATTTAAAATTATTTCAAAATAAAAAGGTTGTAAAAGGGCCAGCAGGTGGCATTGTGATTACAGTGCTGGACTCCCACATGGCCAACCATGGTTCAAGTCCAAGACCCAGTCTAAAAATCATGCTGGGTGCATGCGCATGCATGCCCAAAGTCCCAGGAGGAGAATGGAGAAGGGATTGCATCCTGGCCATCCTCCTTAAGCCCAATTTTCTAACTTTTTTTCTTACTACCTTTCTCTGATTTTCTCCAGTGAGCACATATGCCCTATGGCAAAAACCTTCAAGAAATTAAGTTGTAAAAAGTAATAAATAAATGAATTTTATGATAATGCTGCTTAGTTGTCAGCCTTTTTAAGAAAGCTAGAGTATTTTACAATATTAATAGAGAAATACTATGTAGCTGCAACATGGCAAAAGAGTAGTCTAAAGTAGTGGTTAATATTATAGACTGGAACCAAATTTCTTGTGTCTCAGCCTTGCCCCGTCCTAGCTGTGTGATTGTGAGTAGTTCACTTAACCTTTTTGTATGTTAGTACCTTGCAGTAAAGGGAAATAATAACAATGAATGTTTCATAAAGTTGTTGAGAAAATTAAATGAATTAGAGCCATGCTGGCATATAGTGATAATCAAGTGTCAGACTGTACAAGGCGTTCAGCAAATAATGGTGGTAGTGATAGAAATTGTCACTGCAGTTGCTGTACTTACTGATATTAGACATTTCCATTTCACCAAGAGGTTCAAATTTCAACATATATCAGGACCAGCAGGTGGCATGGTGGTGAATGCGCTGGACACTCCCATGTGGCCTACCATGGTTCGAGTCCCAGACCTGGGGGCTTTCACACTTTCTCTCTTTCTTCCTGGTCAAATTAAAACAAATGAATGAGTAAAACTAAATAAATAATTTTTTAAAATTTCAACATGTATCATTGTCTCAACAAACCTCAGTTTCTTCATCTTGAGATAATAGTGAAGAATCAACCCAAGATACCTCTTAGAATTTATTTTGAGTTTAGTGAAATAATATATTTGACAGTACTCTGTGAACTGAATTATGACAGTGATGATGACAAGTACTGCTATTACAACTACTACTGATTATGGAAAAAAGGGAGAGTTTGGGTGGTGGTGGTTCTAGGGTGAAGCAGCAGATTGCAGTCATCCATAACCTGCCTATCTTTTTGTGGAAACTGTGAACACCAGACTGGGAATTAGATGTCTTTGGTTCTTAGTACAAGTCCTTCCTTGAATGTCTCAATATCCCCACCCATAAAACCAAAATAAGTCTGCTTAAATAATTTTATAGATATTTCAAGCATGAAAGTTATGAGAATGTTAATATGTGAAGATCTGAAAGCTTAATACAAATCTAAAGGATAGATTTTACAATGAAATACTCAAACCTCCAGTACTTTCTTCTGTAAAAGAACCTCTTGAGAGTATTTTTAGTAAAGTAAAAGAAGAAAAAAAGGATATATTCATTAGCATGCAAACTCAGAAAACAGCACAGTAGGATGGTCCAAAAGTAGCAATTTATAGAATTCAGTTTTAGAGTCAGAACTGGATTCAAATCTCAACTCTTTTCATGTAGCTATTAAATACCATTCCCTTCCTACTATTCCCCTACATTTCTCTTTCTCTTTAGAATCAAGTTTCCCCAAAGCATTGCCTGTATGCTTGATCATTTCCCTCCTTTGTTTTTCCACTCCAATTTGACTTCTGTGGCCATTAGCCCCCAGTCACTTAGTGGTGATATCATTAATGACCTCTGTTTTGCTAAATCCACAACAGGTTCTTAAGACCCCTTTTTTGAGTCATTAGCAGAGTATAGCCCCGATAATCACTCCTTTCTCCTTTTTTTTTTGGAGAGGTTTTTGCTATAGGGCACGTGCGCTCGCCAGACAGAGACAGGCAGAGAGACAAAAAGCGAGAAATCACCCCCCAGGGGGGATGGCCATACCACAATCCCTTCTCCTCCATTCTCCTCTCGGGATCTTGGGCACACACACGCCCAGCGTGAGTTTTAAGCCACCAGGTCCGGGACGCAAACCCTGGTCGATTATGTGGGAGTCCAGCGACATAGCCATTACGCTAACTGCTGGTCCCATCCTTTCTCTCTTTTTAACCCTCTCTTCCTTTGGCTTTCCAGAATGTCACCCTCTTCCAGTTTTCTTTCTGTATCTCTGACTCTTTCTTAATCTCTTTTTCTTTGTTTTCCTTTAATATTTGTTTAATTCTATCATTATTATTATTATTATTTCAATTTGACCAAAGAGAAAGAGAGAAGGAGAATGAGAAAAGTTATGAGAATGTTAATATGTGAAGATCTGAAAGCTTAATACAAATCTAAAGGATAGATTTTACAATGAAATACTCAAACCTCCAGTACTTTCTTCTGTAAAAGAACCTCTTGAGAGTATTTTTAGTAAAGTAAAAGAAGAAAAAAAGGATATATTCATTAGCATGCAAACTCAGAAAACAGCACAGTAGGATGGTCCAAAAGTAGCAATTTATAGAATTCAGTTTTAGAGTCAGAACTGGATTCAAATCTCAACTCTTTTCATGTAGCTAT